ATTTATGAAAGCAAGCATCCACTATTAAGGAAGAGTTTCTATTTTAATGATGTTATGTGGGGCAAAGTTGTCATACATCTAACTTATTCTCTGTGAAAAGAGAAAATTTGAAAAGAAAATTCTTCTCCAATTTCTAGATGAGGGACAGACATGGGGAAATAGCTATACATGTGTGTGAAAGGCCAATAATGTAAAATTGACAAGTCACATCCACAAACACATAAAAAGAATTATACACCATGAGCAGGTGGGATTTACTCCAGGGATAAAAGGCTCATTCAATATATGAAAAATCAATCAATGATATCTACTATATTGACAAGCAAAAGAAGTCACATTGTTGCAGCAGTTGATGCAGAGCATACATTTGACAAACCCAATGTCAATTCAAGACCAAAATGCTCATGAAGTGTAAGTCACTCAGTACTAAGGCTAGAGGGGGAATTTCCTCTACTTGTTAAATAGCATCTATGGAGGACATGACTAACATCATGGTTAAATTGTGAAAAATGGGGCATTTTCTCTTATGGTTGGGAACAAGGCAAGGCTATCTGCCCTCACTACTCTTATTCAACACAATGTTGGAAGTTCTAGCCAGTGCAATAAAGGGAAAAAAACAAAAAGTGCACAGATTGAGAAGAATAAATAACAGTGTCTCGATTTGCAGATGATATCATTGTCTTCATAGAAAATCCAAAGGAATCTACCGGAAAAACTCCCATAACCAATAAGTGAGTTCTACAGAGTTGCAGGATACAAGATCAACACATTTCAAGGCTCATTATTTAACTGCAGTGATCAAGATTGTGTGGTATCCACAATATCACAATTAGCCTCCAATTAAAATTTTTTAAAAAGTAAAAAAAAAAAATTTGTGTGGTGTCAGTAGAAAAAGTGAAAGTGAAGTCGCTCACTCGTGTTTGACTCTTTGTGATCCTGTGCACTGTAACCTATCAGGCTCCTCCATCCATGGGATTTTTCCAAGCAAGAGTACTGGAGTGGGTTGCCACTTCCTAGTATCAGTAGAGGGAGAAACATATAAATAAATGGAATGGGATAGAGAACCCAGAAATAGACCCACATCAATTTCCCCAGCTGGTTTTTGGCCAAGATGTAAAACCATCCTAGCAGGGCGTGCCACTCTCAGCCAGAGCCCAGCAATTGTCAGGGTTCTTTCTTTATGATAGTAAGTTCCAGGTTCAGCAACTTCTGTTTCTCTTTAGAGGGACCATCCCTGTCAACCTGTCTCAGTCCACTGGTGCCCAGAAACTTTGCAAATGTTTTGGGCCCCTGGATTTTCATAGGGCTTATCTTTCGCTGGGTGGTGAAATACTTGCTAGTTCCTGGGCATCTGGTCCATTCGGCATGATGCCATTAATGGAGCAGGCCAGCATGATGGTTTGGGGCAGAATGAGATGATCCAATCAGTCAGGGACTTCTTTATGATAACGTGCCAGATAATTGACGGGGCAGTGCCTGGGGCTTCCTTTGGATGGTTTTTCCAACATCGGAATTCTTCCAGCTGCCAATTGTGTTGGTTTCCAATTATGCAGTCAGGAACTGGGTGTCCACAGGTAGAGAGATCCAGACTAAGATTCCATCTCCGACTAGTGGACCACAGTGGCCTCTATGGTCCCAAGGGTAAGTCAGAGGCAGGTTAAGAGTACACACTTGTAGTATTCCGTGTACCTGGCCTCACCTTTGCTTGAGAGCTGAGCCTGTGATTTGACTGGGTCTGGAAATTCGATGAGAGGCCATGATTTTCCATGGTGGTGATTAAAGGCAGGCTGCTGTTCACCAGACTGAGCGTTTTGGTTGGTGGTGGTCTACTACAGGTGTGTACTGCAGTCCATGGGGTTGCAAAGAGTCAGACACAATTGAGCTGCTGAACAACAACTATATATATATGGGCTTCCCTGGTGGCTCAGATGGTAAGGAATCTGCCTGCACTGTGGGAGACCTGGGTTCAATCCGTTGGTCAGGAAGATCCCCTGGAGAAGAAAATGGCAACCCACTCCAGTATTCTGGCCTGGAGAATTCCAAGGACAGAAGAGCCTGGTAGGCTACAGTCCATAGGTTTGCAAAGAGTTGGACATGACTGAGCGACTAATACTTTCATTTTTTATCAGTTCAGTTCAGTTGCCCAGTCAAGTCTGACTCTTTGTGACCCCATGGACTGCAGCATGCCAGGCCTCCCTGTCCATCACCAACTCCCAGAGCTTACTCATGACAGCATGATCAATCACCCCCAAAGATCCTTTGGGGTGAACCATCTTAGTTCCAGCTGCCAGCCCTGCTGTATCTTGTGTTACCTGTACTGTTTCGATGGGATTTAGTGCCACCACTTACACTTTACTTCTCTGGGATCCCATCCTTCCCACTGAGAGCACAAGACTGTTTCCATGGCAAGACCTCCCACCTCCTTCCCGAGACTAGTTCTCCAGAATGTTCACCAAAGTATGTCTCAGTGTTTTGCTGAAAGTAATGTCACCCAAAGGGATGACATTAGTTAAGGGGCGAGGCAGTGGGTTGCACATGACAACTCATTCCAACATCCTCCTCCCCAAATCTTGGGATTGGAGACAAGGGATGGGAGGAGTAGGTTACAAGAACGGGCATCCCATTGCTTGGTAACTGACTAGGTGATATCATTATAAGGTCTCCAAAGAAGGAAGAAGCAGCCTTATCAGACAGGGGAGGAGGAACCACTTCTGCTGGTGAGGGGGGATCTGGCAGGGTTTAGAGTTTGGCTACCTGATGCGAAGAGCTGACTCATTTGAAAAGATGCTGGGAAAGATTGAAGGTGGGAGGAGAAGGGGACAACAGAGGGTGAGATGGTTGGATGGCATCACCGACTCAGAGGACATGAGTTTGGGTAAACTCCGAGAGTTGGTGATGGACACGGAGGCCTGGCGTGCTGCAGTCCATGGGGTCACATAGAGTCAGACATGACTGGGCGACTGAACTGAACTGATAAGAAATGAAAGTGTTAGTCACTCAGTCATGTCCAACTCTTTGCAAACCTATGGACTGTAGCCTGCCAGGCTCCTCTGTCCTTGGAATTCTCCAGGCCAGAATACTGGAGTGGGTTGCCATTTTCTTCTCCAGGGGATCTTCCTGACCAACGGATTGAACCCAGGTCTCCCACAGTGCAGGCAGATTCTTTACCATCTGAGCCACCAGGGAAGCCCATATATATAGTTGTTGTTCAGTAGCCCAGTTGTGTCCAACTCTGCAACCCCATGACCTGCAGCACACCAGGCCTCTCTGTCCCTCACCATCTCCCAGAGTTTGCCCAAGATCATGTCCATTGCATTGGTTATGCCATCCAGCCATCTCATCCTTTGACACCCTCTTCTCCTTCTGCCCTCAATCTTTCCTAGCATCAGAGACTTTTCCAATGAGTCAGCTGTTTGCATCAGATGACCAAAATACTGGAGTTTAAGCTTCATCATCAGTCCTTCCAAAGAGTATTCAGGATTGATTTCCCTTTACACTGACTGGTTTGATCTCCTTGCTGTCCAAGGGACTCTCAGAAGTCTTCCCCAGCACCACAGTTTGAAAGCATCAATTCTTCAGCACTCCACTTTACCGTCCAGCTCTCATAACCTTATGTGACCACTGGGAAGACTATATGGACCTTTGCCAACAGAGTAATGTCTCTGCTTTTCAACCCTGTCTAGGTTTGTCATGGTTTTCCTGCCAAGGAGCAAACATCTTCTGATTTCACAGCTGCAGTCACCATCCACAGTGATTTTAGATCCCAAGAAGAGGAAATCTATCACTGCGTGTATTTTAAGCCACAAGTAAAATGGGAAAATTCCTAATCTTTGGATGGCACAGGAGGAAATGGAAGAAGAGCAATAGTTGTCCTCTTTTGTCAGTAGCAGCTTGTTAGAAAAGATGATGGTAAAAATTCCATTGACAATAGCAATAAAGAAATAACTCCGGATCAATTAAGTCTATGGGGGCTAGGTGTACAAATCCCCACTTGAGAGCGAGAAGAGAAGTGAACCAAAGGAAGAGGGAAAAATCTGGAACCTGGAGCCTCTAGTTGCTTGACGGTCTAGTATGACCGCCCCAAGTGACCTTTGAGTATTGATCACTTCGCCTGGAGCCCTATTCAGTTCAGTCGCTCAGTCGTGTCCGACTCTTTGCGACCCGATGGAATTCTCCAGGCCAGAATACTGGAGTGGGTAGCTTTCCCCTTCTCCAGGGGATCTTCCCCACCCAGTAATTGAACTCAGGTATCCTGCATTGCAGGCGGATTCTTTACCAGCTGAGCCACAAGGGAAGCCCAAGGAGACCCGTAGTGGAGCTGCAATCCAGCTGTGTTTTAACCAGAAAGCATCACCGGAAGACTTGGTACAGAAAAAAAAACCAACCAAACAAAAAAATAGTAAAATATGTCATTCATAATGTTGTGCATTGCTTATATGCTGAAACGATAATATTGCCAATTGCTGCGTTAAATACAGTCTGTTATTGAAACCGATGTAACCGTCTACTTTGCTTTTTTTTTTTTCAAGTGGATGCTGTAAAATTTAAAAGTCCACAAGGAACTCACACTATGTTTCTATTGGGCTGTGCCGCTCTAGCACGATGGAAATTAGAAGCTGCAAAGCTCTATGTGCCTCGACGTCTGTCTTCTTTTCGGCATCGGGACTGATCCGACAGCCACCTTGAAGGGTCGGGGGGGTGGGGCGCGGGAAGCAAGGAACGCTGAGACACGTGCCCAGGTGCCCAAGTTTCCCGTACAAAAAACCGGTGAGAAAGACTAGAACTTCGCTCGGCCACGCCCACAGCTAAGCCCCGCCCAGGTGGGCTGCGCAGGCGCTCCCCGGCCGGGCCGCTGAAGGCGGGGCGAAGCCCAAGGCGCACGCGCGGTTGCGCCAGCGCGGGCCGCCGCGGCCGCCAATGAGATGGTGCGGCCGTCCGACGCGCGCTGGGGGCTCCGCGCCGCCTCGCCCCGCCCCTCTGCACGACACGCACGGGGCGGCGCACAGGTGGGCGGGGCCTAGCGGCGCAGCCTGACGGCGGCGGGAGCCTGCAGTAGCTTTCTCGCGGCGGTGGCCCACGCGGCTCGGGAGCTCAGCGGGGCAACATGGCGGACGCGGAAGGTGAGGGCGGCTGGCCGGCCGGGCCCGGGTCGCGACCTCCGACGGGGGGAGCCGGGGGTGGGGGGTGGCGGACGTCGAGGCCAGAACTGTCCGCTGGCTCCAGCCGCCGCGCCTCCCGCCGACCTTGTCGCTTGGCCTTGGTTCCACGGGGTGAGGGCGAGAGATTGAGAGGCCCCCGCGGTGACGTGACGCCATGAGGCCCGGGCCTCCCGCCGACGGGGCCTGGGTCGCGCTCCCCCATTCTGCCGCCATGGTCAGCGCCGCGCGAGGAGGGGAAGAGAAGGGGCCGAGGGGCTCGGGCGGGCGCGGACCTCCCAGGCGAAAAAGAAGTTCTAGGGGCCCCAAGCCCTCGAGGACCGTCGGATGGTCCCTGATGGAACTTACAGGCCCGCGGGCCTAGGGCCTTTCAGCCCCGCGCGGCCACGTGGTGAACCGGGAAGGAGGGCGACACGTGTGGCTGCTGTCGCGAGCCCGCCCGGCCGCCCTGGGCACTGGCCTGACCCCCACGCGCTTCCCCTATGAGCCTATACCAGACGGCCGTTTTTCAGCTGCCCTTTTCAACTCGATCGCCTTGATTTTCGGGGAAAATTCCCAATTCTTGTGTGTGTTTTTTAAGTCCTTATTTTGCCGAAGAAACATAAGAAGAAAAAGGAGCGGAAATCATTACCAGAGGAGGCTGTGGCGGTAAGTAGGAATATTTTTATTCTGCTCCGACTCGAAAGGTTTCTTAGAGGCCAGATTGCAGAAAAGAACTGTTTCTAAAGATTTGGAAGGAATGGGGTGTTATCGCGCGCGGTCCTGAGATAGAAACTACAAAGCTCCATCCAGCCTAGGTCTCTCTGCTGTCAGGCACACTTTGCTAAATGGTGTTGCCCACAGTGACTGCTTTCCCTGAAATTGTCTTTCTTATCAGACCCACTATCCCTCTTTTCGCTTAAATTGGCTATTCCCATCTTGGTGCCACTTAACTTATTTTTCTCAGTTCTTCATTTATTTCTTCTCTTTCCTTTGGAGATCTCAGTGAAAAGGCATAGACACTTTGTTTCTTATTGCACAGGTGTAGACTTTGGTAGTCATAATGGAAGGGTTCAGATTCAAGTGGGGAGTCTTAACAGGTTGTGTTTCTGTCCTCTGGAAGGAAATACAACATGCTGAAGAATTTCTCATCAAACCTGAATCCAAAGTGGCTCAGTTGGACACATCTCAGTGGCCCCTGTTGCTAAAGGTATGTGTTTTGCATCAGCTCAAAGTCTGGCTTTTACACTGTTTCTGAGTATTAAACAGTTGATTAAGAATGGATCCTGGACTTAGGCAAGGCTAGGTGAGGCTGCCTAAATCAATGTTCCTCAAGGTAGTTGAGATGAAGACCTGAGTTTTATTTTTTTTTAATTAATTTCCAGTGTACCCAACACTTGTGGAATACAGGTAAATTTTGCAACAATGTGAGACTGCTATCAAATTTTATAAACAACTCTCAATTTCTGTACTTAGCTTCACTTTACAGACATTTACTGGTTTGTGGAGTAGTACATACTTTACAGCATATATTTCAATGCTAGACCCATTTGGGTCAGGCACAGTGTGACATTAGGCTAATCTTGATCTCTCTGAGGCTCTTGGCAAATAATACCTCCTTTCAGAAGGCCCACTGAGGGTTGTAGGAGGTGATCCATGAAACATGCCAAAGTGCCCAGCATGTATCACGTACTCTAGAAGTTATTGACTGTTGTGTTTTTCTTAAAGTAGTTAAGTAATGAATAGAATTAAAATTTTGTTACTGACATAATGGGTGCTAGCTATGAGATTAAGAGGTAAGTTTACTGAAAGACAGGATTCCCTAGTGGCTCAGACAGTAAAATGTCTGCCTGCAATGTGGGAGATCCCTGGGTTTGATCCCTGGGTCTGGAAGATCCCCTGGAGAAGAAAATGGCCACCCACTCCAGTATTCTTGCCTAGAGAATTTGAATCAACCACTAAACAGGAGGTAAAAGATGAGATTTGTTTATATAATTCAATGCAGTTGAATTTATGCTTGGCCAGATGTGTCTGCCATTTAGATAGTATCTGGTTCTCTTGTTTTTACCTGCCAATAAACCATGTTGGCAATTAGTCCTACCATCATGGAATGTAAAATCTAGAGGTGGGAGATACAGGCAGTTAAAAATAATTCCTGCTAGTGGGAAGTACCAACATGAAGCTAATGAACTTGCACTGAGGGGAGCGTTTTCAGACTAGTGGTGGAAGCTTGGAAAGAGCGAGGAGAAGCAGATATAAGGAGTGGAATGGGAGCGTCGAAGGCAGGAGTGAGCTGGTTAGGTGTGAGGAACCATGTTGCCAGTCATCCTCCAGCTGGCTATCTTTGGTCCCTGAGAAAATCAAAGCTAGTCCGTATTTTACTCATAAGCCTGTGCCTGTACAGTGAAGCCATGTTTGTTCTGTAGTACCCCAGGAGGCCTTTCTGGAGGAGGGACCAAATTTGTCATCTTCTTGGATAATTTTTCCAGCATGTAGTGGGGCTTAGCAGTCTGTCACAGCAAATAATGGAAATACAGGAGCAAGATCCAAATCAGGAACCCAAAGGGTCACCTTATCATGGTTCGTAGTGGTCCTGACTTAATTTTCCACATGTTAATGATTTATTGCTTATTTTGTGTTGTATCGTTGCTTTCTAGAATTTTGATAAGCTAAATGTAAGGACAACACATTACACACCTCTTCCTTGTGGTTCAAATCCTCTGAAGAGGGAGATTGGGGACTACATCAGGTAAGCGTGTTGGGAGCAAGCACTGTTCCCACTTCTTTGCACAATGACCATTTCACATCAGTTATTCAAGGAGGTGGTGACATGCCCTCAATATATATGATAACCTGTGCCCATGGTCAGCACTTGGTTTTTACTCTGCAAATTTGGTTTTCATCCGAGGCCCAGAGTTGATGACCCAGTAATTTCTTTCCCAATCTAGGACAGGTTTTATTAACCTTGACAAGCCCTCCAACCCCTCTTCCCATGAGGTGGTAGCCTGGATCCGGCGAATACTTCGGGTCGAGAAGACGGGACACAGTGGAACCCTGGATCCCAAGGTGACTGGTTGTTTAATAGTGTGCATCGAACGAGCCACTCGCTTGGTGAAATCACAGCAGAGCGCAGGTAAATCAGAGCGGGAGGAACGACGGGGCAACTTGAAGATGGGAAGGCTTTCTGTGTTTCCTTGCCCTTCTGCATGTGGCTTTCAGAAGTGATTTCTTCATTGGTAAAATCTTACAAACCAAAAAAAAAAAAAAAACCCAGAAGCAAGGGATATTCTGGCTTGGTATGTGCCTTCTGTCTTCTGCCAGATCCTGATGAGGCTGCCTTGTTGGGTGTTCTGGGTGCTTTTGACAAGCACGTGAAGCCAAGTGGATCTGCTTCTAGCCCTGAGGCAGATCTGAGTCCTAGTTCGACTGCAGGCCTGGCACTTCAGGCTCCTTGAAATACCCTGCAGCTTCTGCCTAAAATAATGCTTCCTCGTTGTCATCAGGGAAAATTCTCCTTGGCCTTGCAAGGTGCCCTCCAGGCAGGCTGTCCACAGGTATTCTTGTCCTCAGCACGTTGAGAGTTGAACCTGTGACATTAGGGTCTTCGTTCCTTTCCTACATCTGCACCCTGAAATCTTTCTTCCTGCAAATTTGATAGAAATTTGCCTGTTTTCCCTGGCTGCACCAGATTACAAGTGATACAAGAATATGTGAAATAACAGCAAACTCAGTGGCCACACCTGACTACTCTTGTCATTTTACAGGCAAAGAGTATGTGGGGATTGTCCGGCTGCACAATGCTATTGAAGGGGGGACTCAGCTTTCCAGGGTAAGTCTGTCATTGGAGGGAAGCCACCTGAGCCACTGGGCCAACCTGGGCAGGCGACTGCAGATGGCAGAGACACTTTTGCTCATGTCCCTTCTGAGGAGAGGCTTCTGATCAGTCCTGAGCCACCCATGTGGAGTTGCAGAAGGAATCAAAAATTGAAAGGCACTTTTAGTGATTGCAGGAGACCTTCTGCATGTCACTTGTGCCCTTAAACTCTCCAAATCTGCCCTTTGATTGTCTTTGAGAGTCCATGCAGTAAGAGCAGTTTTGTTTGTGTTTCTTCCTAGGCCCTAGAAACCCTGACAGGTGCCTTATTCCAACGACCCCCACTTATTGCTGCAGTAAAGAGGCAACTCCGAGTCAGAACCATCTACGAGAGCAAAATGATTGAGTATGACTCCGAAAGACGATTAGGTGGGTCCTCAGGCTTGTGGGGCACCGAGCTGACACAGAGCACTCTGGTGTTGAATGAATTTTCCAAAATCAGAGTCTGGTAAAAGTAGCTGCCTTGAGCATATGGGGTAGTTGTGGCCTGTGTCATCTCCAGTTTCGCTGCTGCAGGTAGAAAATAACTGGGTTTCTCATCTGGTCATGTGTTTTTAAAGAAAGAAAGTGAAGTCACTCAATCATGTCTGACTCTTTGCGACCCCATGGACTGTAGCCCACCAGGCTCCTCCATCCATGGAATTTTCTATGCAAGAGTACTGGACTGGGTGGCCATTGCCTTCTCCAGGGGATCTTCCTGAGCCAGGGATCGAACCCAGGTCTCTCCTGCATTGCAGGCAGACACTTTACCGTCTGAGCCCCCAGGGAAACCCACCCTTTTATAATAATAAACTATTCAATGAGTTAAGCATAGAAGAATAATTCCTCAACCTGATAACAGGTATCCATAAAGAAAGAATTACAGCAAACATACTCAATATCTTTCTCCCTAAGGGATTCCCTGGTGGCTCAGACGGTAAAGCATTCTGCCCACAACACGGGAGACCCAGGTTCAGTCCCTGGGTCAGGAAGATCCCCTGGAGAAGGAAATGGCAACCCGCTCCAGTACTCTTGCCTAGAAAATTCCATGGATGGAGGAGCCTGGTGGGTTACAGTCCATGGGGTTGCAAAGAGTCGAACATGACTGAGCGGCTTCACTTTCTCTTCTTTCTTTCATGTGTTTACTTACTAGGAAAATATGTGCTACTTTTGTGTGTGTGTGTGTGTGTTTTAGGAATCTTCTGGGTGAGTTGTGAGGCTGGCACTTATATTCGGACGTTGTGTGTTCACCTTGGTTTGTTGTTGGGAGTTGGTGGTCAGATGCAGGAACTCCGGAGGGTTCGTTCTGGAGTCATGAGTGAAAAGGTATGTCATTGGTGGGAGTTGTTGTTGTTTTTCTTAAAGCTGACTGATACTTAGATCTTCCAGCCCTTGGTGGAACTCCACCTACTTCCCATCCCAGAAAAGGCAGTTCCCAAAGTGTTGAGTTCAGTCCAGGGCAGCTTCCCTGTTCTGTTAATTAAACTTTGGGACATTAAAACACAGACTGGGGTGTGTGTGGATGGAGACTGTTACTCTATTCATTTACTCCCTAGCCTACAGATATGCCTGCTTAGGTTTACTAGACCACCAGTTACAGAGGTGACTGCAAACAGACTAAAGACTAATGAGCTTGGACTAGCAGATGAGACAAAACTGATTCAGTGTTTGGAAGCGTGAGGTCCATTTGCCTATTGGGGGTACAATGGCCCTTGATTAATTTTCATGCGCGGCTACTTCCAGGACCACATGGTGACGATGCATGACGTGCTTGATGCCCAGTGGCTGTATGACAACCACAAGGATGAGAGTTACCTGCGGCGAGTTGTTTACCCTTTGGAAAAGCTGTTGACGTCTCATAAACGGCTGGTCATGAAAGACAGTGCAGTAAGTTCTATTTGCACAAAATGGGAGCTCAAGAGAGGAGATGTGGTCCGTGGCCTGAAAATTTCATTCTATTTAAAGAGAGAAAATAGGATTTTGTGATCTCACAACCACTATTTTCCTTGAGGCTTGTTTTCTTTTTTTCTGGTTTTGTATATTGGACCTGGATTAATTTATTTTTGTTAATGGAAGCATTTATGATTAACTTTATTAAGTGAAAACCAAATATAAAGTAAAAGTTTACTGGGCCTAATTCCATCAAACATTTAGAGTAACTTGGTCCAAGAAATAGACTATTAGTGGTACATAAAATTTGATCTTCTGTAAACTGGTAGTTTTACATGTGCCTAAGACACCTTGGGTTTTTAAACATTGCTAGAAAAAGTTGTATTGATGGGGATAAAAGATTGAGATTAGAGAGTTGGCTGGTTCTCCTTTCAGAATCTCCATTTAGAGCTTTGTTGAAATAAATCCCAATTTGAGGCCATAAAACCTAAACATAGTGGAGATTATCAAGTCTTTTTTCTTAGTATGCATACTAAATAATCTCATAGAAAGTAATCGTTAATATATTTAATAATTTGAGCTTGTTCATTCATACTCAGATCTTAAACTATATACATGTTTGATTGTATAGATGTTAGTTTATAATAAAAGACAAAAAACTGAAGAGGCATACCACTGTCTGCCCCTATAATGATTGAGAAAACAACACACAAGACAACGTGAGTGTGATTCCCTTTTGCTAGGGTCAAATTAGTGGCTTCTGGGGGAGTTTCAAGGGAGGGGAGAAATACGGCGAGTGAAGACAAGATTCCCTCAGGGTGAATTGGACGCCTCAAGTGTGGGCAGACTCAGGGAGAGTTGGCCTTGACGTGTATCTCTGGGTCCGTAAAGGACATGTCAACATGTGCAGGCTTGGTTCATTGGGCCTTGGCAGTCTTGCTTGTGCATTCCATTGGGGATGTAATTATCATGTAGGAATATTACCTGGGAAGGTAGTTATTACCTAGCTCTGTCAGGGTGTTTTCCCTTCATGCTGAGGAATACTGCTGCTACTGCTGCTAAGTCACTTCAGTCGTGTCCCGTGTCCGACTCTGTGCGACCCAATCCCTGGGATTCTTCAGGCAAGAACAGTGGAGTGGGTTGCCATTACCTTCTCCAATGCAGGAAAGTGAAAAGTGAAAGTGAAGTCGCTCAGTCATGTGTGACTCTTCGCGACCCCATGGACTGCAGCCTACCAGGCTCCTCCGTCCATGGGATTTTCCAGGCAAGAGTACTGGAGTGGGCTGCTATTACCTTCTCCAATGCTGAGGAATAGGGAATAGGTAAACTCTGGACAGGAGTAGCGACTTCCAGCTGTGGTTGTGTTTCTGAGTCAACCTGTGGCGGGTGGCGGGTGGTGGCTGTGATCAAAGCTGCACGGTGGCCTGTGGATGCCGTCGGGCCTCTGGCATGGGTAGGGGGTCCTTGCTGGTCCCCCCAACCCCCTCTGGTCCAGTAGGGGGTGGGGCAGAGGGCAGCGCTGCCTTGTGACGGGGGCACTCATGGGGCTGCTATCCTGCCAGGTGAATGCCATCTGCTACGGGGCAAAGATCATGCTTCCAGGTGTCCTGCGCTATGAGGACGGCATTGAGGTCAATCAAGAGATTGTGGTCATCACCACCAAAGGGGAGGCCATCTGCATGGGTAAGAGGCAAGCGACCCCTGTCTGCTCTGCACCGTCGCAGCCAGGCTCCCTCAGAGGGGGTGCCCAAGGCCTGGCCTCGTGGAGTGACTGAATGAATCCCTGTGTTCCTTGGGGTCTGTGAGGTGGTCACAGCACAAAGGTCCAGTTTGGACAGGCATGGGTGAGAAGGGGTCAGCGGGGTTCCCTCTTGTCCTGCCAGCTGCTATTAGGCACCCTGTCTCAGCGGTTTAGCTCTCCAGTGAGAGAAGAAATCATCAACTGATGGGGAATAAAGGTGGTAACTGAGGAGCCTTCAGTCCGCTCCCTCTCTGTGCAACGCTAACTTGCTCAACTTTAGCTACTGTTGGATTATCCCTGTCTGAGCTCCAAGCATGACGTGTATGTCTTTGGGGTTCAGTATCGAGGTGGCCCTTCCCCTCTGGCTGCTGGCCACTCTGGCCACCTTGATTGTGCACAGCTAGAAAGGGATCCTGATGACACACTTTATTCCTGGTGTAAATAATGCACATTAAACAATGAGCTTTGGATGTATCTGCCTGGCCAAAAAAATGGATTTGGATTTTTCTGAGACATGTAACTGAAAAACACAAACTTTTTGGCCAGTCGAATACTTTTTAAGAAGTCTCATCTGAGGACGTCCAAAGCATAGATTTTGATGAGTGATCAGTATCAGTGTTTTTTTGCACTTGATAAGTGGAACGTGATTTCACAGGCTGCTTTCCCTTGATGGTGGATTTTCTCCATATGCACCTCTCTGCAGTGGAAACCTCAAGGCAGTAGAGCTTGAGTTTTATTTCAACCATTAGATTATTTTTAAAAAAAAGCATCTATCTGTTTGGCTGTGTTGAGTGTTAGTGGCGGCACACAGGATCTTTCATTGTGCTGTGCGGGCTTCTCTCCAGTTGTGTGTGGTCTCACTGCTTGTGGCACCCCAGCGTAGGTGCCCTGTAGCATGTGGGATCTGAATTCCCCAACTTTGAATTGAACCTGTGTCCCGTGTATTGGAAGGTGAATTCTTCACCACAGCTTAAAAGTTTTCAAGAAATTTGTAAAACTTGTATAAAATGGTGGCATTTGGCCTCATTGGTTATCAAGTCTTTCCTTCTATCTCTTTCCAACACCTGCAGCAATTGCTTTGATGACCACAGCAGTGATCTCCACCTGTGACCACGGCATTGTAGCCAAGATCAAGAGAGTTATCATGGAGAGAGACACTTACCCTCGGAAGTGGGGTTTAGGGCCGAAAGTAAGTAAGTGGGACTGGGCCTGTGCCCTGTGCAGCATTGTATTTTGCTTTGTTGAATACTCGAGCAGCTCTTGGTATGTCTTCACTGCCATGTGCTGGCGTTGTGCCGGGCTCTGGGAAGTTGGTGCTGGTTGGAAATGTGCCTCACTTGGACCTGACGATATTTAGGCTAAGGGGACCATAGATGGACCTCAGTCCACTTGCACCACGGGATGGTGACTTTTAGCATAGTTGAGGGCCCTGTGAAGGGGTGTGGCAAGGTCCCTGGCACCTCGAGTCCACCGTGAGGGCTTTGGCCTGGTCAGGGAGTTGGGGCAGGGGATCTCTGCTTGAGCCATGCCAGTGGAAATATATGGTGTGACATGTTGAGATGAAGCGGGGAGGGAAGCGTCTGGGGCCGCTGGAATGGCAGGTGGTACAAATGAGACCACAGAGGCTCCCAGGAATACAGCAATCCCTTTGAAAGTCCCATGTCTGCACCCGTGGAAGAGAGGGTGAGTTCCAAGTACTCTGCTGTGTGTGTGTGTGTGGTTATGAGACCTGCTTTGTGTCAATACTGTTGTAACCTGGACACCCTGCCCGTCCTCCAGGCGAGTCAGAAGAAGCTGATGATCAAGCAGGGCCTTTTGGACAAGCACGGCAAACCAACCGATAGCACGCCTGCCACCTGGACGCAAGAGTACGTCGACTACAGGTGAGGGCGGCTGTCAGCCAGCCCCGCGGTGGAGAGGGGGCCTGCCTGGATGCCGGGCTCCCTTGACGGCAGGGGAAGAGGGAAGGGCCTGGAGTTCCTATTACTGGATGCTGCCTCCCAGCCACTCTGGTGAGGAACTCAACTTAGTTCAGTTCAGTTGCTCAGTCGTGTGTGACTCTTTGCAGACCCATGGACTGCAGCACGCCAGGCCTCCCTGTCCATCACCAACTCCCGAAGCTTGCTGAAACTCATGTCCATTGAGTTGGTGATGCCATCCAACCATCTCATCCTCTGTCATCCCCTTCTCCTGCCTTCAATCTTTCCCAGCATCAGGGTCTTTTCAAATGAGTCAGCTGTTCACATCAGGTGGCCAGAGTGTTGGGAGTTTCAGCTTCAACATCAGTCCTTCCAATGAGTACAGAGCCAGATATGGAGGAAACATACTCAGGGCAGGGCTGTTGGGACTCGCCTTGGGGCTGGCGTTGAACCCCGGCTGCCCCGGGTGAGTCGGCATTGGGCCCCGCACAGCCAATGGTTGCCCCTTGCCAGCCTGGCTTGTGGGACTTTAGATGGAGTCAGGTTGCAAGTGGCAGTGGTGAGCTCTTCTGTCCAGCATCAGTATTCTGACGGTGGCTTTCGACTGGCCATATATGCCTTTGTGCAGCCGGGCCTCTGAGGACAGCATGTCTGCAACCCTCACCCTTTGCTTCTGCTCCTCTCATAGCGATTCTGCCAAGAAAGATGTGCCAGCCAAAGTGGTCAAAGCCACGCCGGTAGTTGCTGAGGTGGTAAAAACCCCAAAGGTGAGTGGTGTGCCGCGTTGGCTTTGGAACACAACCACCCAGCCCCACCAGCTGCTGGTTTGTTGTGTCTGCTTGGGGGGGTGGTCTGTGGGCCTGGGGGTTAGATTGGCCTGGGCTACTGGCTGAGCTCAGGCCACAGCCGTGAAACAGTGGGGTTGACAGGTGGCAGGAGTGTGTTGGAATCAAGATAGGGACACTTGGGGCCAGGTGGAACTTGGCAGAAGGCCAGTGAACACCTGTGCATGTACTGGCTTCAGGGCTGGGGGCCGCTGGCATCAGATGGCATGGTGGCTTGTCTGTTACTGTGGGTGGCACCGAATGTCCTGAAAAGGGCCTGCTGTGGAACCTGGCAGGTGGGGTTCCTGACCCATCTGCCCCCTCTGAGGCCTCCTGGGAGCAGCCTAGGGAGGAGGCAGCCTTTCTGTGTTGCCCTGGCACTCCGGCAGTGCCCCCGGCTTCCTGGCCTTCAGGCACGACAGTCTCTGAATGCCTGGTAAACCAGGCCCTGTCGGGGGTTTTTGCAAATTTCCTGTTGGATCCCATCAGGATCTTATTGGCGGGCTGGCTCCCCACCTTCTGTGACTCACTGAAAACGTTCTTGTCCATGTTGATCTCGGAGTCAACATGCCATCTGTGGTCTCCACCTTAGCGGAAGCGAGAGAGCGAGAGTGAGGACACGTCCCCGGTGGCTCCACAGGCAGTCAAGAAGGAAAAGAAGAAGAAAAAGAAGGAGAAGGCCAAAGCTGCTGTGGAGAGTACGGAGGAGCCTGGAACTGGGGTGTGTGCAGGCGGGCCCAGGACTTGGGTTCCTGAGAGGGGAAGGCATTGCCCACTGCCCAGTAGGGAGGATGGGATGGGCCCAGGTTTCCTAGAATTGGCTCAGTTAGGATTCTGTGCATGATGGGTTGGGAGGCTGTGGAGCTGGGGAGTGTCAAGGCGAAGGCATCAGTGAAAATCTCGACGGTGATGCACAAGATTGAGGTCACCCAGGACATCCGAGCCATGAGCATCACCTCCTGGTGACCCCAATGGGGTGGGATTGGGAAAGTGGCGGTGCTTATGAGATGCTTGCTTGCTTGCTTTTCCTCCCAGGATAGTGACAGCACCAAGAAGAAGAAGAAGAAAAAGAAAATCAAAGCGGAAATGGTCTCCGAGTAAGGGCGACATGTGGCACAGTGTCCAGGTGGGAGGAGCCATCAAAGCCTTATTGTGAACCTGGAGCTCCGTTGGTCCTCAAGGGAGGGGACCCGAGGTCCCCAGAAAGGTGGAGAGGCCAGCATGTGGGAGCAGCTCACAGAGCCCTCACCAACGCCCCCTGGCATCGCTGCCCCATCTCGTCCTGTTGTAAGGACCCTGGTGAAGGGAGCGGACTGGGCACTGTACACTGCTCCGCCCAGGAGACTCAGCACCTCCCATGTAGACCCAGTGCCCACCCATGGCTGTTTCCCGGGGCCAGCTGACCATCTTGGGCCTCTCCCAGTTGGCTTCTCACTTCCCTCATCTAACAAGTTTGTAAGCAAAAAAAGGCTGTTCCACAAAATGTTCTAGAGCAAGTGAAAAAAGAAAAATAGAACTGAACCATGTTATTGAGGGAATAATATTTTTTTGCCAACGTGCTGAGGACAGCTGTCTATTCTCGTGTCAAGAGTTCCCTCAGTCACCTGGATTTCCTTTCCAGGTGGAGGCCTGGCTGAGGGCTCTGGCACGCTTGTCTTGTGCACTCTTTCCATGCCCTCCCCTGTGTACACTTCACAGCTCGTACATATACACACCACCTCAGGCACCTGACTCCACCTGGCTAGTTGTGTTTGTGAGCTCAGCCCCCCCCCCAAAAAAAAAACCATTCCTCCAGGCTTTGTTTTACCCCTCCGTTCCTTTCCCTGATGGGAGAAGGTTGTAATTTTTACTGATTAAATTTCCTTCTGGTTTTTTAAGTATTCCTGTTGGATTTTTCTAATTGTTGATCTACAAGTTAGTAGAACAACAACAACAAAAAGACATGGCAATTAAAACTGTAGAGGTGTTTATGTCCTAGTGGAAATGTGGTGCTTTTCCTGTATGTGTGGTTACCTTTTTTCTTAGTCTGGTAACATTTCCCTTGGGGCCTGGTGTGGGATCAGATACTCTGGCATATTCAAGACATGAGATAACCAAAGAACCTTCCCAAATTTGGTGATCTCCACAATCACAGAGAAGAGAAAGGTTCTCCGTGTTTGTTGCAGGCAGGAGGTGGGGGACAAGGGGTCATTTGGGCACCTGCAGACACATCTGGGCTCAGACACCCACGCCAGGAGCCGCCAAAGCTTGTGCTGATGGCTGGGGAGGTGATTTGGAACCAAAAACTATATGGAGTGGTGGGGAGGGGAGTGTGAATGCAGTGAGGGTCAGGGCCCCATTCCCAGTGATGGTTTCTGGTGGCCTCCACTGCCCGGGACCCTTGAGAGCCACCTGGACACACCAGCCCACGGCTGGCTTTCCCCTGCCCTAGGTATGCCAGGACATGACGCCTCCAGGAAGCACCCATGGTGGGTTCCCATCCAGGGTAAGACACTCGGGTGCCTGTACATGGACAGAAACCTCAGGTGAGTCTTGAGGGCACAGCTGCACCTGTGTTTCTGGTAGCCAACGGAGGAGTTTATTTTAAGTTACCTTCACCTGGGCAGTCGGTCTGGGTGTCCAGAATGCAAGAGTAAGCTAAGAGGGAGTAGCTTTCTGGAGGAAAAAAGATCTGGTATGTGTATGAAAATCAAGTCCAAAGCAAGTGGAAGCAAATCAGTTCAGAGCACTCGCCCCTGGAGCAGCATGGAGAGTCAGTCCCCTCACACCTTGGCTCCCAGCATGTCTTTGTACGTTCATGTGCATGTAGACACCACCACCTGCGCCCGGAAATGCGGTTGAGCCTGACCTCCAGGCTTAAGGTCATCGCAAGCTTGAGAGAGACTTCAGAACACGGGAGAGGCATCTCCGCACCCCAAGGGCTTGGGGCGCGGCTGGGAACCAGAGTTAAAAGGCGCAAGCTCACTGGCATTTAAACACAGCAATATCTTTATTGCTTTTGAGGGTTTCCCTAGAGCAGACCCATCCTATTGCACAGCTGTTTGATTTGGCAGGGTAGAAACTCGCAGTGACAAATGCTCTCTTCAAATCAAAGACACATGAAATGCCCGGTGTGGCCGAACGTAAAAGGGGTGCAGGCTTCAGAGGGCTGGGGTCCATTGCTTTTCCTCCCTGTGGGCACCAGCTATGATCAGCAGCTGCCTTGGCCGAGTGCTTCTGGCCCTCAATGCACAGGGATCCTTTGGAAATCCTGCTCCGTGGGGAAATCAGCCCAGCCCTTCAGAAATGTGAAGAACACAAGACACCCACTGGCCTCATGAGGAGGAGAGTTGCAGAGAGCTGGAAGCTGACACAAAGCTAGTGAGCCTGTGGTCTTAGCAAGGTGGGGTGGACTTCCAAAGGCTGGACAGGGGCCCCCGGTTGCTGCCCACTATGGTGCAAAGCTTAGTAAACCCAGGAGACAGGCACCCACTGGGGGGAACGGCACGCCAGGTCAAAGGCTTCTTCCAACGTCTTCAGGGTTTCCTCAACGCTGTTATGGACCAGTGAGAGGTCAAAGTAGTGCGCATACTGGCTGCGGATGGCCTCCGAGTCCTTCTGCAGCTGCTGCAGGGCGTCCGTCTGTGGAGGAGAGAAGGGGGAGGCCCACGGATGGAGCAGGCTGCATGTGCCCTGCCTGGGAGGCCCAGGATGGTTCAAGTGGAGGCCTGCCCACCACTTGGTCGTCGTGCCCACCACCCAACTTTGAATCACATGCTGAAAAGCCTAAAGGCTTCCCTGGTGGCTTAGATGGTAAAGAATCTGCCTGCAATGCAGGAGACTCTGGTTCAATCCCTGGATCAGGAAGATCCCCTGGAGAAGGAAATGACAACCCACTCCAGTATTCTTGCCTGGGAAATCCCATGGACGGAGGAGCCTGGGGAGCTACAGTCCATGGTATCGTAAAGAGTCGGATATGACTGAGTGACCTTCACTTCACTGAAAAAAAAAAAAAGCCTAAAACCCTGAAGTCCTTGCCTGAGAATGTTAAGGGGCTGGGGTGTGGAGAGGTGTTCCCTGAAGAAGTCTTGGTAGCAGTAAACACGAAAGTGAAAGGCAAAGTGCAAGTCACTCAGTCGTGTGGGACACTTGGCGACCCCATGGACTACACAGTCCGTGGAATTCTCCAGGCCAGAATACTGCAGTGGGTAGTCTTTCCCTTCTCCAGGGGATCTTCCCAGCCCAGGGATCGAACCCAGGTTTCCCGCATTGCGGGCGGATTCTTTCCCAGTTGAGCCACCAGGGAAGCCCAATAAACACGAAAAGGCCAAATTGAGATTGGGGGGGGGAGTGGTTGCAACTGATACTATTAAGGGCTAATGACCTTCACATAGAGATCCCAGAAATTAATAAGGCCAGTAACCGAACAAAAATAAGCTCAGGAGCTGACCAGGTAGTTCAGAGAAAAATGGACAGACTTGGCCCTCGGGAGTCTAGACAAGATGCTTTACTGCTTCCAGTCAAGCACTCAAGTTCAATGAGATTCCACTTCCCCATTCAGCAGACTCCAAAGATGAAAGTGCAGGATATGCTCCTGAAACAGGGGGGCAAGTCCCCTGCCACATCCAAAATTCCCAACACGACCCTGCCTGCAATCTCCCACAGACAGATTTGCACATGGGAGGCACACGCACAGAATCATGGATTGTCATACTGATGCTATTAAAAGTTTTAAACCTAAACATCCATCAAGAAGGCAGTGAGGGAACTAGAGTGAAGTCACTCACTCATGTCCGACTCTTTGCGACCCCATGGACTGTAGCCCATGAGGCTCCTCCATCCATGGAATTTTCTAGGCAAGAGTGCTGGAGTGGGTGGTCATTGCCTTCTCCAGGGGATCTTCTGGACCCAGGGATTGAACCAGAGTCTCCTGCATTGCAGGCAGACGCTTTACTGTCTGAGCCGCCAGGGAATCCCTAGGGAACTAAATAATTCTGCTAAATCCACAAGATGGGAGACCACAGCTCCTGAGAAAGGCCCAGGAAGGTCTCCACAGATGCATTCGATGAAAAGCAAAGTGTCTGCAGCGGGGTTTGGAGCTCATCGGCCCTAGGGAGCCAGGAGGCTTCTCTATATGGTCCCCCCTCCCCACAGCATGCCTCCTGTGGGCCTAAGGCCACATATGTTCAGGGTCCCTGTCCCCCACATTTGCCCCTCTTAAGCCCACCATCCATCCCTGTGATTCTGGAACAATGGCCTGGCTAGTGGGTTAACAACTCCCCACTGAACAGAAACGCCAATACTTTGGCCACCTGATGCAAAGAGATGACTCATTGTAAAAGACCCTGATGCTGGGGAAGACTGAAGGTAGGAGGAGAAGGGGAAGACAGAGGATGAGATGGTTGGATGGCACCATCGACTCAGTGGACAGGAGTTTGGGTAGACTCCGGGAGTTGGTGATGGACAGAGAGGACTGGCGTGCTGCAGTCCATGGGGTCGCAAAGAGTCAGACACAACTGAGTGACTGAACTAAATTGAACTGAACAGACTGGACGCATGTACTCTGTCCTCTTGGCCTCAAGGGCAGCAAGACAGCAGTAGCCAAGACGTTGAGCTCTGCCAGCACCCTGCCAACCATCTGTCATGTCTCCCGCCCCCCTGCACAGACCCTACATTCCCACCTGAGTGCCTTGGTCAGTGGGTGCGATGAACACAATGAAAGGTGAAAGTTCTGCTGTCCGAACGATCTTCAGGGTCTGGGAAAATGGAGTGGAAGGAGGGAGAAGAGAGGGGAAAAAGAGTCAGCGGTCAAAGCAGACCCCTGGCAATCAGCATCTTAGGGCCTTGCCAAGGCCAGGACTGTCTCCAGCACGGCTGGACCAGCTCTTTCTCCTGGTGACCCCAGTGACAGCCCGTGAAGCCGGGGTGCATGCCCTGCAGGTTCCCCCGAGCTGTGCTCTTCAGCACCCCGCTCCCATCTACTCTGGTCTTCCCTGCCGACCCACCTGAGGCTCGATGTCCAGGATGGCGACCTTGTCCTGCTTGTGAATCTGGTGCACAGTCTCGAACTTGGTGCCGAACATGTTGCCCTGGTAGCTGCCAAACTCCAAGAACTCATTGGCAGAGATGCTCCGTGTCATCTCCTCCGTGGAGATGAAGTGATATTCCTTGCCATCTTCTTCACTCTTCCTGGCCGGCCGTGTTGTATCTGCACCCCGAGAACCCTGATCAACCCCTGAGCCATTCAGGGGCCCCCCTCCATGGCTCCCGGGGGTGCAGACCCTGGCATCGCCATTGCCACCCCAGCTGCTTTTAGTGCAGGGGCTTCTGATTCAGGGAATCTTCTAAGGGATTCCCTGGTGGCTCAGATGGAACATCTACCCACAACATGGGAGACCCGGGTTCAATCCCTGGGTCCAGAAGATCCCCTGGAGAAAGCAATGGACACCCACTCCAGTACTCTTGCCTAGAAAATTCCATGGATGGAGGAGCCGGGTGGGCTATGGTTCACAGGGGTCACCAAGAGTTGGATACGACTGAGCGACTTCACTTCCTTATTCAGGACCCTCAGGGCCTGACTCAAGAAAATGAAGTGGGCTGGGAACACGTTTAAATGCTCCAGAGTGAGCGCCCATCCTCCTGGCGTCATAAAGTTGCCTCTCTCCAACACCAACCCCAGGGACACAGAAGCTAGAAATCTTTGCAGAGCAGATCCGCAGAGACTTCACAGGTGGTCCAGTGGTTAAGACTCCACCCTCCAATGCAGGCTGGGGCACACGTTTGAACCCTAGTCAGGGCACTAAGATCCCACGTACCATGCAGTGTCGTGAAAAAATTAAAAAATAAATAAATAAAACCGATCACAGGCTATAGTCTGGATTTCTGTGAAGCACACTGAAAG